CTACTCTGAACTGGTATTTGCTCACGTTATCCACTGCTCATTCATGTGCCCAACCTGCAGTGACGGTGTCACTTCGATTGGTGATGATACGTTTGCAACCTAACTGCCAAGCTGGGTGATCAGAGAAAGAACTGATGATAGCTTATATCTTTGAAATAAAAAATGTACGTTATTTAAGATGCAGCAGCTGATGAGACTAGGCCGTTTTTATTTTTCCTCTCGGTTGAACATGTACCCAGGACCTTACGAAATTCAGCAATTGGGTGCGGGATTTATCGTAGTATTGTTATTTTCCAAGCTTAACAATATTGACATGCTTGGACAAACAAACGTTCTATTATGCTCCAGCACCTACGGGCTACCATCAAATGTTGGTTGGTAATTCAATGACCAGATGGTTTAGACTGTTCAACCGCAATGCAACAGAAATGTAAATTTTTCGTTCTAAAAATTTGTGAGGCAAAACGTAATTCTTTGAGAGGCATCTGATTTAATTATTGTGAACATCAAGCTAAGTTATTTTTTTCAACAGTCATATCATCAAGCATCTATAAATAAGAAAACAAATCTCACTTTCCGTCAAATGAAGTAAATTTGATTTCAGGGTCTGGTGAGAGATAGGCACACAGCCGCTGGAGATTGGTATAGTGAAGCGTGAAACAGTACACCTCCAAAAAGGCAGTCAGCGTCATCATTGAGTTTGATCATCGGTGAGATACTCATTGTCTTTGTCTCAGTTATATTCATCAAAGCCCCTTCACTGTTGTCAACCCCACTAATCCACTGCTCTGTAGTTATGTGCAGCCTTTTACAATACTAATTGGCACACAGGGGATTTAGTATCAGAACGCTCATAAATAACGACTGGATGTATGTATGACTATTGATTGTAAATTTGTCCGTTTATTGTGGTTCACCATTTCACCGATGTCCTTCTGCAACCTTGTCCTGCCAGTCGGTTGCGAGTTCCCAACTGCTGCTCTTGAAAAGCACCGCGATACCGTTCGAAAATATTCGGGGTTGAACCAATAAACTTCACAGAGTGCGATGTCCAAATATCATTTTCTGTCCGGTGAAAAGAAACTTAGGACTGGTGCAAAACAAGATGACTTGGTGCCAAAAATTAAACGTACCATTAAAATTCTCCGGAAAATTGCACAAAAGGCCCTTTACACAATGGCCCATTGTAATGCTCTTCCCAAACTTATCCCATCACATTGAGTACTACAAGATGTGTGTAAACCACGTGCGCCCTGAAATTATGACATTATGGTTGATTCATCTACAAACCTAACATCGGAGTGTTATCATGTGGCTGGTTAAAATCCTGAAAGCTGTCAGACTGAAGGCGACTGCTTTTAGTCTTTTGTGACGTTTGAACTGTTGAAATGTACGTGAAACGGTAATGTAGGGAGGAGCTATGTCCTCGTTTGACACTGAATTCCAGTTTGCTAAATACCCCATCAAGGAATTAGATAACTATGTCCTCGTTTGACACTGGATTCCAGTCTGCTAACTACCCCATCAAGGAATTAGGTAATGTCACTTACTGGTGTGTTTTGGAAAATAATTAGTGCACAACATTCCCTCCAGAAGACTCTGCAAATTATTTACGGCATTGTCAACCAGTGTTTAGCGTTTTTAAGAACACGTTTCACCGAGTGGCGTCACAACGGAAAACCCACTAGATCTTGATTCTGATAGACATCGTGGTAGGCTATATAGAACATCGACTATTGGCGAAAATTGAGGAACTAACGGTCTATAAGGGCATTTCTGCAATTTGTTTAGACTGAACTAACCATAAATGCATTCGAAGTTTATGGTGGAGGTCGAGAAACATGTCAGTCCAAGTCTCCTCGGTGTTGGCCCGAATGAATGACGTATGATCAGAACATTGTGGTGGACCGAGCAATATACCCACTTCCGAAGAATATACATCGTAAAAAAAACAGTGCCAAGGACTCCGCTTGAGAAATCTTTAAAAACTGCAATAGGTTACGGATTGATAGAAAGGGGCTTCCACTGAAAAATATATAGGCTTTAAAACACCACAGGACAAGTTTCATCAACAGCGGTTCAAAGTGCAGGCGCCATCCTGACGCCAGCGGCCAGACGCACAATGCATTTTTCTGCAAAACCCCTGCGGGCGAAATAAAAACTACAACGTCAAAATGTTGCACTTCTTTGCATACATGCGTACAGTGAAAACCTCCCTCATCTGCCGTCACCATTTTGCGATTTGTTTTAATCGATCTCTTCTGAAAATTATTGGCGCACATTCGGCTTTGAACTTCGTCTGCTAGGGCTTCGGAAGTGGCTTTCTTCGAGAAATTTATGGGTGTATCGTTTTCATCCTTCACGGCCTTTGGGAAGACCTTAAATGAATACATGAAGGATAACTTTGTGATATTTGTGCGTTCATCCAGTAATCGAAACACCAACACTATTTTGCGTTACGAATGGGTGTACTATAAATGCAGCAGGTGCCCTCCAAGACCAACGGAAAGCCGTGGAATCCGAAGAAGCTAGTAAGCCGAGCGTATTTTCTAATAAAAA